TGATTCAAATTGCTATCAGCTCTTATCAGAAAAACTATGTCTCACTCTCGTCTTATCAGTGGATCAAAATCTGTGAACAGTTCGACTAACAGATGATTTTTAAATGACTAGTAGTCGGAAGCAAAACTCTTAATATTTGCTTCTTACTTCATTTAAAAATTGTTCACTACTATTTTACATGACGACATCACGTTTTATAGAGATCCCAGCACTTGTTTACTTGATTCCTCATCCACAAATTGCTTTGAATTTACGTGTGAGTCCGCCTACAGCTTGAATATTTTGGTCTTTTTCATAAATGGGTGCCATGCCTAGCTTCAACAGAACCTCTTCGAAGCCTAAAGATCAATACGACAAGGAGCTTCTAAGTCTCGCAGCAGATCTGTACTCTATATAGACCATAGAAAACTTCCAGATAAATTCCACTATTTATATTTTCCTACCCTGACGGATTTCAAAGTTTAAATGACTTTGGTCATAGTCAAATCACGGAGTTGGCGTACTACCTCGCGTCTTTTTTACTAATTTACAGAAGCTTCTGCTTACTACTGCTATCGCCTTTTACTCATGGTGACATTTTGTGCATGTGGCGTAGAAGTTAGAGGTGCCCTGTAATATACGTACAATCGATGGTTATCGATACCTGAGTCAGCCAAGCCGTTCATCCCACCGAGGTTGCCCAACTATTTCAAGTATTGTGTGGAGGAATAAGGTAGTACCTTAATAGGTCATGAAGTTACTCTGTAGGTCAAACATGTATTGAACCACTTCCACGATGCAACGCATACGAATGGAGCTAGATGCATTGCCTATCAATAAGATGTTGGTGAAAGTTGAATGCTTTATCATTATCCTTGTTTATGATAAATGAAATTATTACACACATATATAAACTCAACCAGCTAACGGAGGTTTATTTGCCCACCATACTCGCCCTCAACCGTACTAGTAGGTTGGTGTTGTATTCTTGGAGTTGGTTCGCATCAGAAGACGTCGAAAAAAAAGTAAAAACGGAGCGTATCGACTTAGAAGCGGCTGGATCTATTACAGGCGTAGAAAGGTACACTATGGAACAACGCTCATCACCACTAAAATTTTGACCGACCAAATAACAAGAAAACTATTTTGAGTTTGCTAAGGTCATATAGCCCGGCGAGTTCAACACAGCGAGTTCATTTTTTTCGTTTCAGCTGTGGTATTCGCGAAATCAGTTGATATATTCAAGCTCGATTCATTCAAAACTAAGGCATAGACAAGATGAGTAAGGAACAAGAAACTAAGGAAACTAAGGAAGCTAAGACACCTGAAGCCGAAACTGATTTTACCGATGCCGACCGAAAGTGTCCTGATTTGCATACTTTTCGAGAAAAGGCCAGCAAAGATATAAAGGCTCTGGAAGCAGTAAGTCTTTCATGTTAAGCCGTTTTGAAATTGTTTGTTATCAATGAATTACGGTGGAAATGCCAAAATACCAATTATAATCATTATCACAGCTTCAGTATCGAATTTATCACACGATGAGAACATCGTGTAATACAATGATTGGGAGTAAATATACGCGGTCGTGTTCGATACAGTGCCCCAAACTCATCAAACCTTCCATCCTATCAGAGTTGACAAAACGGCTTGCCTGGGAGCACAGCGCTGATGTGATACATCGGTACACCACCACTAGTTAGAGCAAAAATTTCCCCTTCTTGATGCCAAGAATGTAGAATAATGCACGTCTCATCCCCTACAGACTTTTTGATTTGGTTAGCACCTACAGTAATCTACAGAAGGCATGTTTCGATATTACTGTGAGATATATTTTTTTGCCATGGTTATTTAAGGAGTATTTGAGAAACGACTAGGGAAAGGGTGTATAACCAAATGGTCAGAGGTGAACTGGTTACCATAGTGCTCACTGGTTCACTCCAATACTTTGGAAAAACCAAACTCGACACTTTAACTTTCCTTGGTAGACATATTAATGCCTATTTTGCCCAGGAGGCCAGATTCACTGATTTGATACATCGATAGACCACCACAAGTCATAGACCATCACCACAGTCAAGTCAGTCATATAGGCTAGATATGTCCTCGATAACTTATACGTCGCTACAAATAGGTCGGATGTGTAACGTATCTCAAGGATTGCTTAGTGCCATATGCTTCATCGCTCCATACTTTCACTAATGACACAAAAGTTTGCAAAATTAATAGGTCGTGTAGGAATCCGCGCCGTTGTGTTTTTTACTGGGTCTTCTCGTGAAAAAAAGTCTCATAAGTTCTCAAAGTTCTTATAAGTCTTAGCGCGAGAGCAATAGACATCAAAATGATAATTAGAAATAATTGAAATTGCTCAACAACTCTACTCAAAGTACGAGCCATTAGCCTGAACACATTTCTGCCATATCTCAGGCAAGAAATCAAAATCACATGCATAGAACTCGTTTCAAAGAAAGTTGTCAATACTCGACGCAAATGATGATACCGCAAAACTTCTTCATGCTCAGAAAGTGCTCCAGCGACAGGAATAGGTGATAATCAGACGGACATGTCAAAACTGTACGGTCGATAATCCTGCAACTCCCAACCCACTTCGCTCAATTTCCTCTTTGTCAGTTTAGCGACATGCAACCTTGCGTTGTCTTGGAGCAGGATGAGATTGCGGCGACGTCTCACGTAACATGAACCGATTGCATCTTACACCTTTACTTTTCACTTAACCAGATTTATATTTCTGTAAAACTTTATGGATATATAATTTCAGGGCGAAATAGTTGGGAAGTGGAAAGTTAGAAGACCAATCGAACCCGAACGCAACTTCAATAAAATTTATGTAGTGGAACACAAGAAGAAAGGATATCTGGCAGCATTGAAGGTAATAAATTTAATATACAAACGAGATTCCTTCATAAACATGTGCAGTGACCAATATTTGAGGCGGTGTACATTGATTTCAATGCGCACTTTCGTGGGCGTTTCAGACGGTGCATAAGTTCACCAAGGCTTCTTTTCGGTGGTTCTCTTTATTTGCTGTACATGACTTGCCCTTCACTATTTAGCCTGCATAAAAAAGCAATGAATTGTGAAGATTCAAAAGATTCATTTTCGGCTTAATAGAGTAGTGAGTGTTTGATGTGTATAAGTGCTACACCTAGCGACACGTGAAGTTGAATCCGGTGCAAAAGCACTGCTATAATGGCTCAGTAAGTTAAAATACGGTCAGTAATAGGTAGTCAATCGAGAAATCAATTAAGAGTTCACCACTGATCAATTACTGAGGAATAAATCATTACAAATTGGATACTTGTATGTTAGACGGCAATAAATGAATATTCAAACCCAATCACTGGACAAGAATATCTCATGAGAATGCTACAAATCATTCGAAAACTTAGATTTCTGGCCAGAGCCATAAATAAGTAGCCGGTTTTTGAAGAAGCATTTTCATAACGGTGTAGCATTTAAGATAAAATTATGTTTCACACCCTTCGTGCGCTTTAATTTTTCTCACGCGTGCAGCTCGCTGAAAGAACAAAATGCATAGGAATGTGTAGAGAGGACTGCGTAGTATCTGAGTCAGTCGTTTTATCTGCATTTTCTTTCAAAGCGGAGAAGAAATTCCTAATTGAGTAACAAGATGCATCGGACATGTCTAGCACTTTAAGTCATTGATCGATCGTCCTGCCTCCCATCGCGTGGATTGGCCGGTATAGATGCTCGCCGAATATGTGAAACTTATTTAATTTTCCCTGCACATTGTAGCTGAACGGTCTTTCTAGAAAATAAGCACCGTGTTGGAATAATCAAAACTTACGCTATCGAATGGCTACTAATAGCTCAAAGAAAGAGCTCTGTCCAGCGAGGTGTAAAGCTCAAAACTTTTATTATTTCTCCAACGTCATTGAAAGATTTTTCCAAAAGTCAAGCTCATTCTTGAACTTATCGAGACTGGTGGTATCGAAAGAATTCAGGAGTCTAAGGAAGGAGTTTTGTTCAGCGAAATAGAAGCAAGATGAGAAAAAACGTGTGAAACACAGTATTTTAGATTTTACAGCGTTATAAAAGGATATTTCAAAAAATTGGTCGCGTGCGGCTTTAGCAAGAGATTTAGGCTTTCGAGTGATTGCTGATATATGATTAGTGATAAGAAAAGTCTTGTCCAGTGAATGAAGTCAAATATTTTTTTTTATCGCAGTCTAACATATAATTACCACAAATTGCATTAAGTGAATGAATGCTTATCTGAGCTATGCAATGACCTTCTGAAGCCTAGTAATGCATCATTCAGTGTTTCCATCCTCCCAACAGGTTTGGTGCCATTTTGCCCACTCGGGAGAGATAGGACGCTTGTTTGGGCCGAGGCGCGGAGCTAAATCGACGACCATGTTGCACCCCAGGAAGCTGAGAGCACTGCCTACGCGCGCCTTTGAAGGATAGAGTTCTACGAAGAGTATCTGGAAAATCATCGAAAAAAATGAAAGTATACTTTCCCATGCATACACACAAAATTCATACAAATAGTTGAAGCTCATTATTCTTCAGAAGATAAAGTCATATGGAAGAAAACAAATCAAAAGGATATTATTCTTTTATTCTCTCACTAAAGAAATTTCAAGTGTATATGGATTTTTCTCTGGACTCGGTACTGTGTTATCAAAAGTTCAAAAATACTTTCTACGTCTGTAATTTGAAAATTTATGAATTCATGGATATAGATGAAGACCTGCTTTGAGTCGAAGAGCATTAGAGGATATGACAAAGACCTTACACATGAGTAGTTGAGCTGTATTTTTCCAACAAAAAACCTACGTTAGGCAGCGTAATACGTCACATGTGCAAAAATACTCTGATGAACACTCTTCCCCTTCTATTGAAAAGTTCGACCCTTGCTTGTTTGCCGTACTACCATTTTATCGTATTGCAAATCAAAACTATTTTTAATTGACCGCTTTTAGAAGCGGTATGACGTTATTACATATTCAATGGCGAAGGTGATGGGCAAAAATTTTTACGTCAGGTGGGTTTCGAACCCACATTTCCCTCCGTCCGGGGAGCGTGCTGAACCATTGCAATACCGACGCCGATCTTTGACACCAATCTTTCTACGCTTCAACGCTTCTAGCTGTCAGCGGCCAACCGACAACGGTTTGGCGTGGGTAATCACCATCGAATTCCACCTGCCGCAAAAGTTTCTGCACACCCTTTTCACCACTGGTTATATCGTATTGCAGATGGAGAAGAAAAAATCACCAACACCGATGCTGAAATTTGAGTTATTCATTCTGCTACACATGGAAAAGATCAAGAGCAATCATTTCTGCAAGTAATAATGCGTTAATATTCTTTTAATTGAATAACGTCTATTGTCAAACATTCATCCCATTTCTAGAATCTTCTAATCTCCTTTTCACTTCCTCACGCTGTCCTCCTCTTTTGCTTGTAGTTTCCGCTGACAATTACTCCTAGGACTCATCACATCAATCAGTTTTTGTATGCAGGTTGCGATAATTTTTTGAATACAGGGTCTTTGATCGGGGAATGGCTCCTGAATATAACTGGATAGTTATAACGCTTGCTGGAAGAAATTTCCATGTAAGCTTGACGATTTTTCATTTTGAAAAACATGTGAACTCTCCATTGTTCATTCTCTGTACAGTCTGTGTTTGATGAACTTTCAGTTTCTCCGCAAAGCTTGTCCAAACGGAAAAGTCTCCTTGGCAAGTGGTCTCAGTGTTGGATTACAGTGTTTGAAGGCTCTGGAAGAGTTGCACAAAGTAATAACTTTATTAGACTTGAATGGAAATTCTGTTAGTAGAATTATGATATGCTATTTACTAGATTACAATACTTGAAGCGCTTTGTCTTTTTAGGTTGGTTTCATTCATCGATCTGTGAACCCATCCGTTTTCGCAATTGGACGAGTGATCAACGACGACCCGAAAGACTTGCGAAATGTACAATAAATTATGGTTTTCAAGTCAACCTTTAAAAAGAGAACCCTTATATATTTCTTGTCGTTACAGTCGTAGGTCTCCTTGTATTTACGGAGTTCAAATGTATTTTTTGTGAGCAATATCTTGCAGCATAATCCTTAATTGTATAATTGAAACCTTAAGCCAGAAGCAAAGTAAACGGTGAATGTAATTACGTAAAACAATGAAAACAACAGAATACTTTCCTATAAGAGAATGACTAGTTACACAGCCAGTTACTCATATTGCAGATTGTTTATAATCTGAAGCAATTCTCTTTTCAGGTGTACATTCTTGACTTCGGTTTTGCTCGTCAATACAAAGAAGCTGACGGGACACACAAACCTCCGCGTCCGAATCCATCAAAATATTTGGGAAAGCCTAGGTGAAAATATATGTTATATGCATCGATCTACTTCAATCCAAATAATTTAGTTCAGCAAGAAAGGCATGTAGCGCAGCGGTAGTTACCCATTATCATAAGCACGGTCTTAATTCAACCCCGCTCCGGCCACGCCAACCTCGTACTCTCCGGACTAGTAGCAAACTGTTTTGGGAAGGTCCACTCTTTGCATTCCAATTGAAGGCATTCTAACCCGCCTATGGCACTATAAATATGGAAAAACACTTGTGTCAGGTGTAAGATGTAAAAAAGATAATGGCTTCTGGTTTGATTTCCTCTTCTAGAAATCTTTTGCAGCCCACATAAAGATGCCTTAGCTCAGCTATCCTATAGATTACGAAGAAAATCGACTTAACTAGGAATTTACAACATTGATAATGAAGATGAACTCTCTAAGCAACAGTGCAAACAACACGCTAGATGTTCATAGACCTCTGCGGACCACGAGGAAACAGCGTATACCGGAAGTACTGAGATCGATGTAGTAGGTGTGAAGGCAGGTCGTGTAAAAAAAAAAAGGATATAGTGGATTATTTAGAAGCCCATAACGATGAGGCGGCTGAAGACATTACTATGTCGAAATGAAAGAGCGAGCAATACTAACATGACAATCAGTTCCAGTTTTATGCATAAATTAATGCTGACGTGTAGCTTCGAGTGTGCATGAAGATCCATGTAGAAAGTTCATTCAAATTTAAAATTAATTGTGCGATTAGTCATCAAACGTTTAAGGAGTGTGACAGTACAGATACTTCAAACTATAATTATAATTTACTTCTTACTTCTACGTCCACTACCAACAACATAGAAGTCTTACCGAGACTACATCTTCCTCTTTACTACTGCCGCTAGAGGCCGGTACTTTACTAGGATGGCAAGCGATTTAGGGCGCTTGATCTTGTGTTAAAGAATTCAAGATATAAATAAGCTGTTGCAACGTTTCCTAAGAATTATTTCGTCGGCATCGCGAAATTCGTAGAATGATGATGTGAAATAAACTAAACTTCTTGCAAATGATCCTAAGCCTAACAAAAAAAAACGAAGGGTTTGGCGTTGATCAGTTCATGAGCGCCGCGCCATACATTCAACGCATCAAGCATCCTTTGACTAGCGTGATACGTATTTAATGCAAACAATGACTTATCGGGCCTTGACTTGAGAGAGGACGTAGGTAGCCATTCTATCCACACAGGCAAGTGTGGAATCAAATTTCCTACCCTGAAAAGATGAAGCGATGGTAAGCTTGGGGCGCGCGGTCGAACCAATATGAGACTTGTGCATTGCAAGGCTGCGTCTTCCATCACTAGGTTACATCTCATTTTGTGCAAAGATTGGTTTCATAATCAAAAGAAAGAAGATATAGACATGCATGACGCCTAAACGCTAAAATCCACTTTTTTCGATGCCCCCAGAAATGAGTTCTGGCCAGAAAAATGTTACAGTTCATATAAAATTTTTTTCAAATGGTCACTGTACCGAATCTCCTGGAAAAACAATGAGGTCCATATGGATCAATGTTCACGAATTTGAGATGACATTCTCTATTGAAGAATTATATCATTCCAGGTACGCACCACGAAACGCTTATCTAAAGAGAGAAATGAGTCGAATGGATGATTTGGAGATGTGGTTATATGTGACGGTCGAACTGGTGAAAGGAGCTCTGCCTTGGGTTCACCAAAGGGTTAGTGGTTATGGTTATGTGTGACAGTCGAAATTGGGAAAGAGCTCTGCCATGGGTTCACCAAAGGGTTAGTGATAACGTGAATAACATCGAGGCAACGTTAGCTGGTTATTGCTCGCCGTTTATCATCTGACCTACATTGATATCTAGAGCTATCTGATCACAATCTCCCATATTTGTGTGTTATGATGTCATACTAATGAAGCACTTTGAATTTTTAATTCTTAAAACATACCAAATCACTTAGATTTCATAACCATGTACTAAATATGGATAATATCGATTGAAAAAAGTTTTGTTGGATTTACTGGTAACCATTCTAGAATCCTAAGCACATCTTCAACTATCAGAAATCGGTTAGGTCGGGACTGGGATTACGCGAATTCCTTGGAGGTGACCATCCAAATCGAATACTCTTTGAATATTAAAGACCGAAAAGAATGCAATCGATTCAGGACTACCGGTCGAATTCGTGGATATTATGAAGGAGGTCGACAAGTTGGCCTATGCTGATGACCCAGGTTATGAAAAAATCTACAGCTTAATCGAAAATGCCAAGAAAATGAGTGGCCAGCAGGTATAGAATCCAAAATGAGTTTCTCATATCGAAAATTTGGCAAGCTTGATTCCAACTATTATACGTTATTTCATGAACTAGGAATTTCCTTACGACTGGGAAGAAGGCGAAATTGAAGCGGAAAAAGCAGGCGAAGGCCCCGGAGCGCCGTTGAAAAAGGATGCGGATGTTGCACCGACAGCACCTACTGCTCCACCCATGTAGAATCAGATTTGATAGAAAGAGAAAAACGCAACTGTTTATCGAGAAATGCAATTGATTTTATTCATATCTGGAACAAAACTACGTATTAAAAAATTCCAGTAAGACAATTTTATCTTCCACGTGCTCTAAAAAAATCAGTGACAGTTTCATTCGATACCGATACGAACTTTACAAGTGATAAAAGGCTTACATATCATGCTAAATGTTAAAAGATGATGATAAAGATACTAACGCAGTCAATAAAAAGCTTTTTTCACTTCAAGAAATCACTGCATTGAGGTAAACTTGCTGTTACGGCAGTCTCGAATTAAATTCTATCTGGCGTTAAAAAAGAGCATTCTTCAATACTTTTCCATTATACGTTAGCAAATGAAATATAAATTTCATTCGATGTACAAGAACTTTTCATGGGAGTGTTAGTAATCATTCGCAAGCAAAGATCTCTGGCTAGAGCTGTACGTGGCCGGTCTGTGAAGAGACCTTTTATAACGCTGTAAAGTTCAAAGAAAAAACATAATCCACACGCGCATATTTCCCTCTGGACATGGCTCTTTCTTTGGACAATTAGTAAACGTTTGATAGCGTAATGTTTTCTAATTCCAACTCTGTGCATATTTCCTGGAAACACCGTTTACCTGCATTGCATGAGGGAAAATAAGTTGGATTCGCATGCGCGAGTAAGTGGTCTTTGGCCAAGTCACAGGCCACTGGGTGAGGCGACAACGACGGTTGCCCAATTATCAATCGATTTTAGACCGGTCTTATGAAAATGGATCTTTGTTATTCAAATGGGAGTCGATTCTCCGCTTTCAAAGAAAAACTCCAGACAAAACGTATGATTTTACTTCAAAAAGACCTTAAATACTTTTATTTTTCCATCAATATGGATAAATCAATCATTATTATCATCAATTTGATGGAATTCAGGAAGCCAGAAGCCCTAATTGTTTCCAATAGTGACTTTCGAAGACATTCAGATACTACGAGATTTTCTCTGGGCGTTCACATGCTCGTAAATCAATCGATCGTCGCGTCAGCGCACTTTGCTACCAAACCCAGCTGCCCGTGATTCGGTCAAAGACCTCCTTGTTCGCGTATGTGAGTTCATCTTACTTTCCCTGCCGCACTGCAGACAAACGGTATTTTCACAAAACAAGCACAGTGTTGGAATCAGCAAATATTACGCTATTGAATGATTACTGATAGTCCGAAGAAAGAGCTTTATCCGACGAGAAAAATGC